CAGCACAACCAACACCACAGAATATTCCTATGATGTTCAAGAGTACTTGCAAAAAATAAACAAGACAATAGAATTTGATAGGTTGGTATGGATCTCAATCTGTGAACAAAATAAATTGTCACTAAGGGTCCAGGATTTCACTAAAAAGATGTCCTGGATTAAATGTTATTTTGCCATAAACAAGCTACATTTATATAATAATGCCTTCAATAGAAAATAGTCTGTGAATGCTAATAGTGATGATGATGAGGTAGAAGCATTGCTATGTTTAAACCTGAATGTTTTAAACCTGATTTTGTGTTTTCATACAATTTATGTTAAAATGCATTTTTAATCAAGAAAACATTCTTTAAGAATAAGTGCATTTATTCCATGCTTTTATTTGAATTTAAGATTGGTCAAAGTGGAATTCAAGTTTTCTTTGAGAGCTGTTCATGTAAAAAATTTTGATCTTGGAAGAGATGAAGTGGAGTGCTTTGATGTCAATGTAACCGTACGTAAACAATTTTGCAAGTATTGAAAATATCTGATCCAAATCATTTATCTAGGTTAATATTTTAAATAAGCTATACATATATTGATGATTTTATCACAGGTCATTTATCAAGTGTACTTTGTGATTGTTAAGTCAATTAATTAAATGACTGGTTTGTTTACCTTGATACTGGACCAACTTAGAGGATTTTCATTAAATTTTTCTGTAGATTTTGCTAGACAACAGTGCTTACAGTGGTCAGATACCTGTCACTCTTAAAGCTGCTGCAGAGCAATTTATCTGCACTGATGATAACAAGACAGGAAACACAGGTGAGTATCTCACAAAGATAAAATAATTGAAATATAAGCATTATTATATGTTTTGCTTTTTGTCAACCAAAACAAATTATTATCAATTAATTTAGATTAACAATGGATGGTAAAAAAGATTTCCTGCTGTCATAAGTTGAATTATTGAAATGATTTGTACTATATTTTTTAATTTTCAGAAGATGGTATCAGTTTGGTATTTATTGTGTATGACATAATAGTCATTATTATCTCTGTGACCTCCACAATACTGTGTGCTCGGTCACTGTACAGGGCACAAAGGTTGCGTTCAGTAAGTATTAATAAGTAAAATTCTTGATTGTTACAGTAGAAGATATTTGCATTATCCCGTATCTATAAAGTCCAGTTCCAAAAGTCCCCTATTTTGCATCAAAATTTCACAACTATAATAGTGGATTACCTTTGGCACCAAAATTTAATAATTTGATAGTTTAATTTGTTAGTTTCCTTAACATCCATCCAAGGCAATTGAAAAAAAATGGCAGAATTCTATCATTTGTTGCCTCATGGGTTTTTACTCTATTACAATTTGCCATTACGTGTTCTAACATTGAAATGTATTTTAATTTTTATGCCTTGTATGATTTTTTTACATCCCAAATCCAAATGAAATTAATGCCATTTACTTTCAGAAAACTGTGAAGTTTTTCAAAAGGCAGCGTGGCATAGAAATGACTCTAGATGACAGGATGCAGTTTCTGAACCTGTGGTTTATTATGATCATTGTCAATGATGTCATTACAGTTATAGGGTCTGTTTTGAAGATAATGATGTCATTAAGTGTGAGTGATGTTTTGGAAAGTGTTCAGAACTTTATTAAAGTCAGTAAGACTGATTTATTTCATCATTTTCAAAGGGACTGACACATTGGTCTTGCATATTGTTACATGAGGTATTTTATTACACGTCATCATTAATCGAAAGCATTCCCCTCCAATACATTCTCCTCAACAATTTCTTTCAATTCGCATTTTGAATAAAATTTATTTTTATGTTTTCTCCTTTTAATTTTAATTTTTTTACATGTGCATACAGATTGCCTGGTGCAAAAATTGTCTGATCTGATATCAGCATTCAGATTTGTCCTATGTGTTTGTGCTTGTGTTTCAGACTGTGGACCTGTATGAAATGTGTGGCCTCACTCTGGGCACAGGAAGTCTCCTGGTCTGGTTTGGGGTTCTCAGATACCTCAATTTCTTTGAAAAATATAATGTAAGTTACAATGCTAAATGTCACCAAACATATTGACAAAGTGTATTTGAAAAAATGTTACGAATACAAATTATACTGGTAAGACAGAAGACCATCAATTTGAAAGTAAGATTTCTCTTTTTCCATTTGTCAGATTCTGATCATAACTATGAAGAGGTCCTTCCCAGATGTGCTGCGGTACCTGATATGTGCTCTCATGTTTTATGCTGGGTTCACATTTTGTGGCTGGGTGGTACTGGGACCTTATCATGTTAAGGTAAGCATCTGCAGGCAGTAAGCCTCAGAGAAAAAGCGATATACTTTCTTATTAACTTGAGATATGTAGATATACTGTTCAATGATGAACTTAAATTCATTTTTATAATGAATGTACATGTATCTGCCTATACATGAATAATCTACTTAATAACTCTGGAATTTTGTTGATAAAATCAACTGAAAAATATATATTATTTTTCACTTTTATAATTTATTTATTTCTTTTTGATAAAATTTCAGTTTCGTACCATAAGTGCAGCCTCAGAGTGTCTGTTTTCCCTGGTCAATGGTGATGACATGTTTGTCACCTTCTCTGTCATCACTGGTAATGACAATGTCTACATCTGGTACTACAGCCGTGCATTCCTCTACATCTTTATCAGTCTCTTCATCTACATCATCCTCAGTCTGTTCATTGCTGTCATTACCAATGTTTATGATGTAGTTAGGGTAAGTATTTATTAAGCTGGTGTTCCATACACAAAATGTTGAGGCTCATATTTTGTTCACATTTGAGTTTTTAGTTATATATGCTGCAGACCAGATTGAAACCCAGCCAGATTTTAAACAGGCCTAGACAAAATCAGAATTCATTCAGATTTTAATTTGGCCTAGGTTAAATTCGCCAAAATCCTAGATAAAAGTCCATGGCTGTTTTTGATACATACTGAAAATAATCTTAATTGTTTGAAGTGGGTGTGACATTGTTATGATTTATTGAATGAGTTTCAAGGGATGATTAAGGTAATTTTTTACTGTTAAATGTTGGTAAGCTTTTATTGCCCTTCACTCATTCTCATACTTTAGAGTGAGCTGAACACCAAAGTTTGTTTTAAAATACAATTCATAACTACCTTTACATAATGAAAGTGATTTGTCTGTTGGCAGTATATAGCATTTCCATTTATCAAAAGTTAAAAACTTGTGGGCCCATTTGCTTAATGGATTTTAATTTGGCTTGCGACACATACACAAGATGTTTATTCACACAAGATACTTACAGTTTGAGCATTTTGTGCATCATTTTATCAGCACAAACAGGTATGGTAAATTTTTGTATAGCCTTTTTGTACAATCTATATATTTTCCATTAGATTTCTTGTTTTAACTTCAGGATTACTACCGTCATGGGGGTTTTCCAGAGACAGATCTTACCAAGTTTATAAATGAGACAGATGAGGATCACAACTCCCCTCACTACAGATTAGAAGACAATGGTGGCTGTGATCTGTCTCGGCTGTTTAGATGTTGCTGTAGAAGGTAGGAATCTTAGTTCTAGGGATCTGCAGTTCTGATTTTGGGTTATCATGGCTGCAGCAAGAATGTGGCTAAGGAAAAACAAGTCTGGTGTTGAATTTCTACTTGTTTAATTTACTGATGTGACCTTAATGTTGAGGAGCCTCCCCCCTACCTCCCCCCTCCCCCACCAAGAAGGGACTGAATGTTTTGTCACCTTTCAACCTCTTATGGTGGCCCTGCACATCATCTGATCCTTTTCAGGATGTTCTATTTATTTATTTTTTGATTTTGTCCATTTATTAACTTCTGATATAAAATCATGAGCCTGGTATTAAATATACAGTGATATTCTGAGATTGTGCCAAGTATTTTAATAATTTAAGGTATACAGCATTCTGTTTTTGCAATCATTAATGGAAGTAATTTGCAGTATTTTTTAATTTCCAAAACTTATTCATCATATTTTTCTTGCTTTCAGGCGCAATCCAGATGAACCAGATGAATATAGCAGTTTACTGACATGTCACAGGACAAACTGAACCTGTGTGATTTGATGCCTGAAAAAGCAATAAAACTGTTTAATGTGCCAACTATAAATTAACTGTAACTGACCACTGATGAGGATTTGTTGAATTATTTATTGAATACATGCCCAAGTGGCTAAGACTATGCCAGAAGGGCATGAATATACTGCTGACTGAACTGTGCAGTATTGTATGACGATCATATTAAAGAGGGACAGACATGCTCTTTGTCTTGATCGTTGACAGTATTAATTTTAAGCGTATTTGCAGCAAAAGTTCAGTATTTTTAGAGCTTTGTGTGTATAAGAGGTCTCTGAATGTGATAGAAATGTGTTTTGAGATAGATGGTTTGATGTAAGGATTATCGTTAACAGGCCCGTAGCCAGGGGGGTTCGGGGGGTTCGAAAGAACCGCCCCTTTTGCTGGAAAAAGGTCCACTCTGTTTTTATGGGAAAAGGTCCACTTTTTCAGAAAAAGAACCCCCCTTTTGAAATTGCTGGCTACGGGCCTGGTTAAGTATGCTTTCCAACTTTATGAGTTGTTACCAAGGTTGCAATCATCCTCGTGAACCAAGAGGATATCCCAAGTTGCCACATTTAACACGAGTTAAAGTGATCCAATAAAGTTAAGTGGATGCAGAAAAGTTCCTTACAGGGTTCCTTACAGTAAAGAATCTTGGGAAATATTATATTTCTAAAATGAGAATAAATATTTGATCATCTTTGATATTATGCCTTTTCTTTTGATTTGAGAAAACTTAAAATATTTTTTCGAAATCATAAAACAAACAGCCATTTAAACTGGTTATTGTATAAGAAAATTTATAAAACATTTTAATGAGAAAAATTTGTCAAAGATAATTTTAAAAAAATATCAACACCAATTCACCATGTCACCAATAACATAAATGTTGACAAAGATGTGTCTAAAAGACATTTATTAAATTAGATACATTAATTATAAGTTACACTTTACACTTTGTTATGAAAGCATGTGAAAACAATACTTGTGTCTTAGTGTAGAGCAGTTTCATTAGCTATGTTATTGTAATAGACTGGTGATAGGGTGATACATTGTCACATCTATCACAACCTCATTCCCTGATCAAGTCTGACTGCAAGCAGACGAAACATTGGCTGGTAAGACCAGACATATATAGGTAGCTAAAGACAAAAGAATCTTCACAAGTCTAATACCAGCATCTTTTCTCATTTTACATGTGATAAACAAATATCAAGCAGAGCAGCTACAGTGCTTTTATCTTCAAGAAAACAAAACCTTGAAAACAAAAGTAAGCAAATATAAATTTGAGTTTTCAGAAAAATAACAATACAAAGGATGATAAAATTACAAAATGTCCGGTTTTTATGAGTCAATTTCTTTACAGAATGCAAATATACATATGTTATTGATGAGTTTTCAATGATTAATTTCATTATTATGAAGATAAAAATCGGAGGGTGATATTACAATGCTATATTGTAACACAGTCCGAGGGACTATCACGAGTGGTAGTGAAACACCACGGCAAACTGTAACGTGGCTCATTTTAAATTAACATATGTTGGTGAAGTAGTCACTCCACAGTTGTTGTCCTTCTGAGCCATGAGAACATAGCCATCATTTCCCCAGTATGTGGACCAGGAGTTCTTGATCAGCCAGTACCTCTGTCCGTTCATGGTGCCATACCCCACAGCCAGCACTGCATGGTCCAGGTCATCAGGCTTGTTACCTGACAATATAATATTTCTTTGTTAAAAAATTTTAATTTAAGTTATCAAACTATAACAATGTTAAATATTATTAACGGTGTGTGAAAAAGAAATATCTAAAAAATATTAATTTTGCAGATATCTTAAAATATTTACTTAAGAGCTCACATATATAAAAACTGCAGAATGCACCAATGATCAAAAAGAAATCATATGGTAAATAGTTATTCAGTATAATCATGTAAGTTAAATAGTCACTCAACCTCATTAATTTTGAACAGCATTGACCCTGTTCATTAAAAGTGAAGCTGGATGGATTAACTTAAACATTTGTTTTTATGAAACATATTTATCTAATAAACAATATAATTTCCATCAATTGAATCTTCTCATCAACTTTTCATTCTTTCCAAAACATTTATAAAGATTTATTTAATATCCTAGCAACCATGCCTTGTGTAATGTTAAAAACATCTTAAGAGGTATACTACCTACCACATTTGGGTTCATAGTAAACACCATTTGCATAGAATGAGAGGGAGAGGTGGGCAGCATCAATAGCCACGGAGACGGGGCCATTGTTAAAGATGGCCATTTCCAAGGCTTCCGCATCGCCCGAGGTCACATTGACATAGCTTTTAATGACGGCTACAGGGGTGACATTCTTATAGTGGCACATACCATCCTGGAACAGATATAATTTATCATTTTGGTACATCTTTTATCTAACAATGAAGTTCATCACACACACACACACACAAAAAACAAAAAAACAGTTAAAGCAAACCTGGAATTCTAGAAGTATAATAAATGAGTTTATTTTTAAAAAAAGCATGCTATTTTATTATAGATTTCATCAAAATTCACAGTTGCCAAAACTTTTAAACACTGACACATTTTGATCTCTGAAAATGAATGAACTTAGGCCGTATTCACATCCAGTTGAGCCATGGCTCTACAAAGCCACGACCTCCCCATGCGTTGTCCCAATGGAGCCGAGATTTAATGACTGAAACCTCGCAGGGAGGATGCATGGGGAGGCATGTGAAAGGCGGAGAGACTATTAAAAGATTAGGCGGTTTTCCTTTCATGTACATCCGCCATATTTAGGTCGTGGCTTTGCAGGGCCGTGGCTCAAATCGATGTGAATGCGGCCTCAGGTTAATATCTCACCACTGCCAGGTATGGGCCATACATCTCCTCAGTGGTCAGTCCGCCATGTTTCATGATCCACTGGTACGACCTGAAGTCCTCGCCTCCATCACAGCCATTGTTCCCTTCACCCCAAGAACAGTCCATCAGCTCCTGCTGGGACAGACGCACAAGGTTGCCAGTCTGAAAGGGGAAGAACAGTTTTATCACCAGTGTATCAATCAGGGACAAGACCAGTCCTCACTGAAAAAGTAGGAAAATTGGCCGGGGGGTCTAGGATACATGATTAACAAGAATGACCCAAATGATCCTGAAAAGGTTGGAATTCCGACAAAATCGGAAAAGTCTCATCAGTGATCAATGTAAACAATGCTTACTTGAACAAAAGACATCTGAACTTTATTGGTATTAACCTTGCACTCATCATAAATGTGATGTACATGTATTAGCTAGGAACAAAAATATAAATACACATGATATTATTAAAATATCCTCAGGTCAAAAACCATGCAAATGTTATTATTTTCATTTAAAATCTAAATACCACATTTTTTTATATGATGGTATCTGTGCTTGATTGATTCTCTTAAAGAATAGAATCACTACATCAGTTCGCATTCTATATAGCCACCTTGAGGAAGTAAGCGCCCTCTATAGTCCCTGCAGTGCCGAAGCTCCAACATGACCCACACACCGCCTGGTCTTTGACAGGAGTCACAGCACCTACAGATAATACAAACTGCCATTAACACATGTCACACTACACACAAACATAAATACCTTATACTGAATTCTTCAAATGTATGTAGATTGTCACTGTATGCATTAAAACATTGTTATATAAAGATGATGTGTACAGTTGCGTGTTTTTGTGACATGAAAGTTCACCAGAAATTCAATGTATATACTGCTTTATGTTTAACTTGATGGTTATATTGTTTAATTTTATTTATCTATTTTAAATCGGATAAAATATAATGTTATCTATGCACAGTATGAGAAATTATCATGTGATATATTGTATGTATCATTATAGTACATAAGATAACCAGTACATGTAAACTTATTATTGTAATATTACTATAGTTATTAAACTCATATAAATGTTGATACAACTTATAATAATTAAACATCTCATCCCCACCTTTCAGCCTCCAGTTCATTTGATCTGGTCTGACTTGGTTTTTATACAGAGCCTTGTTAAATGCCAGTCCTCCATTGTAGACATGAGAGTGTCTGTAACCTCTCATTATTTTCAATTCTTTTTCACTCTTGTCTGCCAAATGATTCACAGCCAGACTATACCCAAGGGAAGCTCTGTTTTTGGAGTGAATGAACCTAATAAAATATAGAAAAATGGCATCTTGGATGACTGGTAATATATCAGGGTATCTTTAATCATGTTGACTTTGTTTATCAATTTTCAAATTGTACTCATGTGACACTAATGATTCTTGATGTAAACACCATATGGACAGGCAGTATGAAAGGCTGGAAGATGGTTATCAACCAAGAGATTTCATTTTCATATTAAGTGCTACATACCTCACATTTTTCCTGAAGTACATTTTCCTTGTCTCATGTTCATGGATGGTCTTGTAATCTTTCTTGTGTGTTGTTTTGAAATGTTCAAACATTTCATGGATATGGTTATCATCATTGTTGATGTACTCTGCCATAGGGTTCATGATGGCCCTGCCCTCTGCAGCACCAGGGCCTGGAAAACCTGTGCATGCCATGCCTGGAATACAATCAAAATACTTGCAGATCATTGCTGGAAAACCTGTGCATGCCATGCCTGGAATACAATCAAAATACTTGCAGATCATTGCTGGAAAACCTGTGCATCGCATGCCTGGAATATGATAAAAATACCTGCAGATCATTGCTGGAAAACTTGTGCATGTCATGCCTGGAATATCATCAAAATACTTGCAGATCATTGCTGGAAAACTTGTGCATGTCATGCCTGGAATATGATCAAAATACCTGCAGATCACTGCTGTGACATTGTGATAGATGTGATATCTATATCCATTCGAAATGTAAAACAATTGTAGAAAAATTAAACAAAACTGAACAATGGGTGGTGGGGCTAATGTTAAACAAAACTAATGGTTTGAAGATGAAAATCAATAACAACTATACCTCATCTGTTATATATATATATATATATATATATATATGGATTTGTGGTGTATGATTTGTGAAAATAATGTCTCACTATGTTGAAGACCCCATTCACATACCTAGATCGATGTACAAGGTGATTCTTATAAGCTGAATGAAGCTGCTAAATGATAGTTAATTACCACCAGCAGTTGGTATCGAACCGGCAGCGAAGGCCCTATACACACTTGCCAAGTCAGTGAAATTAAAAACGACC